TTATTAAATATTAATATTTAAATTTAAAAATTGATTATAATAAAATATATAATTAATTTTTAAGTTTAAGTATTAATATTTAATAGATAAATTTTTTAATTTTAAATTAAAATTTTGGTTACCAAATATATAGGTTAAAACTTTAATTTTTTTAAAAATTGAGAGTGATATGGTATTAACTTTGTATATAAATATTAACAATCGAAAGTTATTTGTTGGTTAAGCAAAACTATTAAACAAAAACTACATGAAAGAAAGACAAAATTTAATTTACATTCATTTGTTATGTTTTATTTTTATTTAAACTTTAAATTTTTTGTCTTTTAAGTCAAAAAGTACAAAGGGTAATAGTAACAAAATTTTTTGAAAGTTTCTGCATTATTAAAGAACAAAAAGGCGAAAATCATGAGCCTAATTATATAAAGTGTTAGAATATTTAATAATAATTATATAATAAATTTAATATTAAAATATTTAATAATAATTATATAATAAATTTAATATTAAAAATTATATTATATTTTACATATTTAATCATTTTGATTAGATATTTTATTATTTTAAATGTTAAAAGATTGTGACTTTTTTTTTTTGGGTTAAAAAATTCAGTATTCTGAAATTTAAATTACAATTCACCAATTATAGGATAAAGAAGCTGACACCCAACCTCAAGGATTCCCTATCATTCGACGGTTGATCTTGCTACTTACTAAATTCAACCAAGATAACTATAATAATTAAAATACTTCTTTAATGTTTGATTTAGTAAATTCAAAGATTTTTTTTTATTTAATGAAAGTAAAATCATAGTAACTCATAATAATTGGTCATTTTTGTTGATCCACAAATTACCTTGAATAATCAACAAAGGGCGGTGGACATTTTCATTTACGTGGTTTTATTTTCAACAACTTGGTTATCCACTTGACATAAGACATTTTCAACTACTTGTTCTTAATTAGTTTAGAGATCAGATTGACAAATCACACCAGATAGAGTTGGTAGTAAACCCTAGGGAAGAAAAAAATGGGGAAAGTGACAATTATAATGTTATCATGAAGACCACTTGAAGGGTCCTAAAGTCTTCATATATCTAGATGGATTTAAAATAGTGACAGACTTTATGGTTTCAAAAGGTTATTGATGAGATGTACCAAAACCAAAAGAAAAGGTTATTGACGAGGATAATTTTACCTTTTGACAACGATAAGGAAATGTGAAAAATTGGCCCTTTCTTTGATATAGAGAGACAAAAAAAAAAATAAATAAATAAATTGTGAATAAGAGTATATATAAATCAATCATTTTAACTGATGTTTGTTATAAGTTGAGTTTTAATAGAGAAAGAGGAGAAATTTGAAAAAATAAAGTGTCATCTTTTTATAATATAAAGTTATTAATTAATAACCTAAATAATTTAATAATAATTTTTTATAAAATTAAAAGATATTAAATATGAATCATATGATATGTAAATAAAATAAATTAAATTTTTTTAAATATTATTTTTTATTTTACAATTCAAAATCAAATAATATATATAGAGAGAGAGAGAAAGAGCTTGGAAACGTAAGACTCAAATATATGAGATGTACGAAAAAAGACAAAGTCCTCTAGTACCAACAAAGAAAGATTTGAAAGCCAATTTTAGTTTTGGTTACAAATACTATTAATTTTGTTAAGCCATTAAAAATTATCAAAATTTTATTTTAAATAAATTATTAAAGATGCACTTGATCTTTCAGATTAATTGGTAACCTGTCAACTTGAGATGCATTTTTCCTTTTCTCATGAGCGGGTTTCGAGCCCACCATTGACAACTTATTTTAAAAAAAATTATTAAAGATAGTTAATAATTAATAATAATTATGTAATAAATTAAAATAATATT